CTAGATATAAAAAGGGTTATAATTAGTTGTAAATCGAGGTGAAAAAAAAGGACAAAGAAACACAGCTCGTGCAGAGATTCGAACTCTGTACCTAGAGATCAGTAGTCTTCTATCTACGCCATTGTACTGATTTTTCTACTGATGTTGGGTCTCTAAAAGTTGGTCTTCAGACTAAAAAAATGGTGTTTTGTGCTTTTTATCTTGAAGATCTAGTTGTACAAAGCTGAGTCTGGTAGATAAAACTTAGAAAACTAAATTTACTACACATTCTGTTCCAAACTCAAACTTGAGAAGTACTTTGTTCGTGGTGGGAAACTGAAAATTAGCTTTAAAAAAGTGGTTTTCCCGAACTTTTACTGTGAAGGAGATGCTTTCCAAACTTGAGCCCAGAAGATGAAATTTAGCAAATTAAATTTCCTCAATTCTATCTGTTAGGCTCAGCTTTGTACAACTTGAGCTTTACGGTGCAAAGTGATAACTACTGTTTCTCCTCATTTAGAACAAGGTGATTTCTCACTAGTTGCATCTAGCTGGAAATCGCCTTACACTAGATGCATTCCTCGATTTGGATGGAATGGAATTGACTTAAACCGGTGTTCAAGCAGATGAATCGATCGATATATCCCACGATGCATCGCCCAATACATTGTACGATGTAGCGGCAGCTTTATCGGGCGATTTCATGCGTGTCTCATCTGCAGCCGATATACAACTAGATTCATCTTCCGATATACTGCCCGATGAATCGGGTTAAAATTGCTACTAGATACATAACTAGATACATCTAGAAAGAATCGGCTGTATTTAGATGTATCGGCCGATAACCCGATTCAACTTTTTCTCTTTTTTACGCATCTAGATGTATCGCGTTTTGTATCTAGTATATCTAGCTGCATCGGGCGATACCCGATATATTTTTCATGCTTGGGCTTGTAAGATTAAATAATTATTTAATTAATGGATCCGTTCTCTTTTCAGTTGTTATTGACAAAAGGTTACTCATCAAGGTGAAACAGTTTCAAAAGAAGGTATGAGCAAGTAATTAAGATGAATCGAGACTCAAGCCTTTTCAACAATAATTTCATTCTACTTTTAGTTCAAATTTCAGCTTACGAAGCCAATCGTTGTTTTTTAAATTATCCTTCTTTGTAATATTTATCTTACTTGTTGACTAATTTTAGTCATCATCTTAGCCTGTGGTGAGCAATAAAGGAAATACCCTTCGGGATAGGTACTAGGTCAACTTCCTTTTTCTCTCATATTGTTCATTACGGAAATAGAATCCCTCGAATTTATTCCTTGAATTTCTTTATAATGTGTTTCTATTACCAATATTAAGTTATCCTTTGGATGTACACTGTTGAAACAACATTCTTTTTATTATTAGAAATTATTAAAATTGTACACACCAGTAAAAAAAGCTGGAAATGAAACTTTAATATGCTTAAATATTTAATTTTGGTGATATGGAAATGTTTTAACATTCTGACAGGTACAAACTGATGAGCATTAGTCCATTGTAAAGTCTTTACAAGATAAAACAATGTCTTCGTGGAGTCCGTCGGGAAATTCGGCTGCATGGATTCGAGCAGAACTTATTGTTACTGGTATATTACCCATAATATTAGTCGTATTTGGCACCATTAGTAATCTTCTTTCGGCGATAGCCCTAGCCACTAAAGAAAGTCGTAAAAGTTCAACAAACATTTATTTGATATTTCTATGTATTGTGGATACACTCTCATTATATCAGTGGAATTTAGATTATGCTGTGATTCAATTTACTGGCCTGTCAGTGAGTCAACGTTCATTATTTTTATGTAAATCAATTGAATTTCTTGGCTACTATACTGTTCATATCTCAGCATCTTTGTTAACTATGGTTTCAGTTGATCGAGCTCTACTATTATGGTCAATCCAATATAAACGCAAAATAGCAAAACCCAAGATAGCATTAATTATTTGCATTATTATTTTTGTAATTTTATTCATATTGAATGGGTATTTATTGGGCTTAGGCTATGAAATGACTTTGTCAAATGACACATCTACCACCTTACTTTGCTATCAAACTACAGACGTAGTACTATTTGCATTTTACAATAGTGTTTGGCCCTATGTTCATCTTTGTATAATGTATATTATCCCATTTAGTCTGACAATTCTATGTACAATATTAATAGTGATCAAACTGACAAATACCCCACAAATTCATCAGTCAACTTTTAGACGAAATAGAAGAATATCGTTAATGTTGATTGCAATGTGTATCACCTACTTGATATTAACTTTGCCAAATCGACTATGTTTTACAGTGTTGTATTCGCGATTATTGAATCAAGATTATACAGACACAGTTCTAGCATTAGCAAATTTATTAATGTATGCAAGAAATTCTATGAATATATGTTTTTTCTGGGTTAGTGTTGCTGGATTTAGTGGAAAAGTTTTGAAAATCTTCAGTTGCAAGCGCTACATGTCAAATCGTGTCGAGCCTATCATGACAAGGACGACTCATACGAAACAGAACAATAAAAATAATACTGGCTACGTTTGAAACTCTTCATTATCGCTATTCGTTGCAGAAGCTATTTTTGCTTATATTTAGTTTGTAATTCAATCGGTGTAGACTAAAATTATCAACTTAACAAATATTATCAAGTTGAATTCTGACTCATAACTGGAGAAACTGTCTGATTCTGATTTTTTCTTTAAAACAAGTATCGTTCATCTTCGATTCACTGACCCTTGACTGAAAATGGATTTTTAGCGATGATTTGGTGTTAGTACGCGCTTAGCTTTTTAAAGGGATGGAGAAACAGAAAATTTTTGTTTATTTATGTGTATGATCCAATGACATATGACGTGTTGAAGGACATATTTCCAAGGATTTGATCGTTAACATTAGGAGGCGTTTACTCATTTTATTTAAACAGAACACGGAAAAGTAGAAGAAAAACAGTAACTGAACTGA